CTTTTCCCTCTCTCTCCCTCCCTCTCTCTCTCTCTCCCTCTCTCCCTCTCTCTCTCCCTCTCTCTCTCCCTCTCTCTCTCCCTCTCTCTCTCCCTCTCTCTCTCCCTCTCTCTCTCTCCCTCTCTCTCTCTCCCTCTCTCTCTCTCTCCCTCTCTCTCTCTCTCCCTCTCTCTCTCTCTCCCTCTCTCTCTCTCTCCCTCTCTCTCTCTCTCCCTCTCTCTCTCTCTCCCTCTCTTTCTCTCTCCCTCTCTCTCTCTCTCCCTCTCTCTCTCTCTCCCTCTCTCTCTCTCTCCCTCTCTCTCTCTCTCCCTCTCTCTCTCTCTCCCTCTCTCCCTCTCTCTCTCTTTCTCTCCCACTCTCTCTCTCTCTCTCTCTCTCTCTTCCTATCTCTCTTCCTATCTCTCTCTCACTCACTCTCACCCTCTTTCCCTCCCGCTCCCTTTTTCCCCATGCAGTGCGTCCAATCAAGCCATCAAGCTGTATAATATTCAAAACAAAGAGTCGATCAACTCGATACGTTATCACGATGGCTTCATGGGACAGAAAATAGGACCAACCAAATCTATCACCTTTCATCCATATAAGGTAAGTGCCACGCCCATTTTTCACACCTGAGCACTTCCATTTTAGTTGTGGATGGCCGCTGGTGGATCTGACGGCTTGATATCGATATATTCAAGCGAGAGAAAGAAATGATAAATGAAACAATTAAAAAATATATAATAATTATTATTTTGTGCTGCATCAGCTGAAATGAAGTGTGCTCTTTTGTTATGTTAATATTTTAATCATGCAATCATATTATTTGTTATTATTATTGTTATTATTATTAATGTTATTAATAAAATGTTATTATTTATACTAAAAAAAGTAACAAACTATAATAGAAGACTTTCAATTCTAGCATGTACATGTATATGTATTTGCTGTTAGTTTTCTCGAGAGATTAACTGTCCTCTACTCTTTAAAAGGTAATGTAGTCTACTCTTTGCATTTGTGCCTTTCATTCAACCAAAAATTAATATTAATATTATTGATTATATAATTTAAAAATCATTAATTTTCTAATTACGAGGACACAATTAATTCAACTGTCTTGATAAAGTTCCTTGTCTTGGTGATAGAACATTAGCAAATGACGAAGAGCCTAAATCAATGAGATTACAAATAGATTGATGACATTAGTATTATTATTATTATTATTATAAACAAACAAAACAAAAAAGAAAGAGTGAAAAAATTAACCACTATTGTTATTATTATTATTATTTTTTTATTATTATTATTATAGTACAATACAATACAACACACAGACATACACAATAAAATACACTAAGGACAAAACAAGAAATAAGAGAAACAAAACATAAAGAGACAAAAGATAAAACAAAGGTAAAATAAAATGTTAAGTGAAATTATTATTATTATTATTATTAATTACTTAGTAGGTCCCTGGTGACGGTAAGTGGTGCTCTCACAGTTACTACGGTACAGTCGTCCAACCAATCTGGTTGCTCCCACATCACCCACTAAAAACAAAGACATGAGCCAAAATTAAATTCAAGCCAAAATTTAATGCTCAAATCTTGATTGACATGATAATGCATTTTACAGTCATTCTTAGGAAAAGAGTATGTTTGTTTACTATGATAACTTGTGTAGTAATCTTAATTGCTACACGGCCAAGAATTTTCATGCCTAATCCAGGACTGTTGCCCAAAGTTACTGGATCAGGTCTGATATCAGTGTTAGTACAGCCCTGATAGCCATCATTGCTGAATCATGAAAGTCAGTCCGGCCTGATCCAGTATAGATGCTTATCATGTCTATACTGTGGCTGACTCCATGATTGTATCAGGACTGATTGCCCAAAAGCCATGATCTATGTCTGATATCAGGACTGATTCAGACTGATCCAGTCCTGATCCACTTGCCAACTCGTGGCTATGTATGTGTTTTTATGAGGTGAGGTCCTTACTGATGAGTTGTGATGAGGTTTGATGATGACTTGCTGCACTTGATCAATGTCCAGCGAATACTGACAATGTAGCTTGATATCAATATGATATTTACACTAAGAGAGAATTAATATGATAATAATCAATTCTATTCTTGCTAATAATAATAATTTATTATTGATATGGCACCAATATTACTTTTAAGCCTGATTTTTTACATCTCACTTACTCTGACAATACTCCCTGAAGTGTTAGGAGGTAACTTATTCACTTCTTTTAGTTTGATTATCTCTGTCCTGTAGCAATAGATTAATTGTGTGAATGGAAACTGGAGGGTATTACCATACCATGATGTTTTTGTTCCACGTGGTATTGCTTCGTGATGCTGTGTGACCAGAGGAGTGAAGTTAACACGATCCGATAACTCTGATTCTCCTCTTTCACCATCTTTACCGAAAAATCTCAACACTCTATTGAACTAAGACAAAATGTAAGGTGTGATGATTTTAACTATACGTTTTTCTTTCTTCTTTCTTACTGTAAAAGTTACTGATGATACGTCAAGGCTGGACTGGTTGTCAACATCAACATTAATGCTAATATCTTCATCACTTAAATAAGCACTTTTATCTAACCTAAACAGGCAAAAAAAAAACATTTAGTACAGTGTGACGGTAAAACATTATAATAACAATTTTTCACAAGCTAATAATGCATTAATAGCACTGCATCGTCATAACTGAATAAAGTACACACACACACACACGTATAACTATAATGCAATGTTTTATTGTGTTTTTTATGTCCTCATATGTTAATGTAGCCCTTGGCCTTGGATTACATTGTATGGTGTGAATTGGGTGACCCTACTGAGTCTTGTTTACATTCAACTCTACTTCTTTTTGGAAAAATTTTTGTCTCTAGTTTCTAATTTTGTGAATGTATGTACATGTACAATAAAGAGAACAGAGCCATACAGAGTATAAGATAAGATTGTGTAATTATGGTACAATAACAATAGCCTTGTGAGATCTGGGTTGTTTATTTTTTACTGACTTTGTTGATAAGTGAACTGATCCTCTGTTTAAACAGACAAGGTACTGCACACGATCAGACGAATGGAGTTTAGATGGAGGGTAATGAGCGTTACGACAGTCTAGAGAATCATACACTATTAATGGGACCTCTGCCTAAGATATTTGAGAGAGAGAGAGAGGGAGAGAGAGAGGAAGAGAGAGAGAGAAAGAGAGAGAGAGAGAGAAAGAGAGAGAGAAAGAGAGAGAATGCGAGCTACATGTCAGGCATTACGTGAAAGTAAGTGAAAAGTGAGTGAAAGACATAATTTTATTAGTGTTTGTTTGGATTGTTGATTACGTATAATCTTTGTTTTGGTTGAGGGTTGGTGAAGTATGCCGCTATGCTGTATTTTATGCTACCATCCATGGAGTCAGCCTCCTTTATGTTGAAGACACCTACCAAATGAAAGGGTAAATATAATATCTCCCTCTACACCTTTTAAAGCTTGGGAAGTCAGTTTTAGTTTAAGCTACTTTCTCTCTTTTTTCCTCTCTCTCTCCCTTTCTATTTACCAGGCACACCATGCGGTAACTGATACTGAAACGAAAAAGAAAATGCGCCTCTAGGAAAACCACCTGTACAAAAGACAAGCATAAATGCTTGTTTGGTACACAAAATACTTGGATATTCCACCATTTTGAATTCCTCTCCCAAGAAAACCTTCTCCCACTGTCTCTTCCCAGTTTTCGTTTGATACTGATCCTGTCCCTCTAAAGCAATCGTGTAGTTGTACTGGTGGCTACCTGAAAAGAAGATATAGCTTCAGAAAAGCGGCAGTAAGGCCATACTTTTCTCATAGCCTCTGATTTGCAGTTTTAATGTTCTGGATTGTAATTGCCCCATTGCTTTGACGAACACCGTCCTAGGATCATAAAAACAAAGCAGTCATTGAATGTCATGCTCTCTCACTCTACCTCTTACCCAAATATAATGTCACCCCCTACATATTCTCCTTGGTTCAGTCTTATTTCTATCTGTGCGTCCTCCATTGGATAGTTTCTAGTTCTAATTCTTTGCAGCATGTGGGTGTGGCTAGTTAATTAACAACACATTTTGCTTTGACCCACAATAGCATGGTGAGGTTTGGTGACTATATAAGCTAAGTCACTTTAGCCAACAGTCAGTAGATAAATATGGTTCTTTGCCATCAATTTTTAGAAGGACTAAAAACAAAGGTCCTGCCTCTTAGTTTTAATCATTGAAATAAAAAAACAATACATGATGACATTAATCCTTCCATTAATCACATTGCCCTTGCCTATACAAACTGCTGGCAAGGCTGATAAAAAAAGAGAGCAAAATGCTATTAAATGAGAATCATATAGCTAATAGCTATCTCTTGATTGATTAAGAATAAAAATAAATGAAATAAAATTAAGTATGATTGTGTTTTATATATATGCACACACCCACACACACACACACACACACACATAGAGTTTTAATATAACAGAAGTGTTCTTCCTTCTTATATATTAGCAACGCGATCTAGAATTTTTTTCACTCCGGACATTTGTGGTCCATCTTGATTCACTATTGTATGTAAAAAAATAATATGATATATTGCAATAAATTTATTATAGTATGCCATACAGTAGTAGTATACTTACCGTAATCAGAGTTTGTGTAGCCCCACCTATGAAGAGAAAATATGGTATTTAATTTTAATTTCCGGCCCTTCTCTCTCTCTCTCTCTCTTTCTCTTACCAGTCCCAGCAGCCATTAGGATTAGATAGTATTGATTTGTGTATTTGAGGGAACACGACGATGATGTTATTGACTTCTGCTAGTCCGCTATAACCGGAGTGAAGTGCAAACGTAGTGTCAATGTATTCCCTACCAGGAAGATAACAGAGTAACGTTTGGACCACCTCCACTCATGAAAACCACACTTTACTACGCTATGTTTGTGTGTGTGGTGTGTGTGTGTGGTGTGTGTGTGTGTGTGTGTACGTATGATTTACCTTCCTTGCTTGCAGCCATGGAAGGCAATGTGTAGTCTACAAGCTAAGAAAGCGAGAGATATTTTCAATTAAAATTATTTTGCTTACCTGTTGCATTACTCTGACATCCAGTAGGGACATAGATGTATCCAATATTGTCCATTTGAGTGGAAAAGAACTCGGACTGCTCAAACTCTAGCAGCTACAAAACGATAAAAGACAAACACATAAAACTACAAACAAACTGATACAAAAAGATAGAGTAGAGAGTTGAAACACAATACCCTATCCATGATATAATGTACACATACACCACATTAATCAAGTAATATATACAGTCAAACCTGTCTATTCCGGACACCTTGGGACCCAATAAAACTGTCCTTATTAAAGAGGTGTCCTTATTTCAGAGGTTCATTAATACACATTTATATTGCATTGGGGCTGATACTACCTGTCCTCATTATAGAGGTGTCCTTATTTTAAACTGTCCACAATAGCAGGTTTGACTGTACACACATAGACCTTATATAGATAATATAGTAAGCAAATACATACATTCATTCTCACATACATTATACACAAACACTTATTTCATATCATTCATATATTCATACATGGTCTACAAGGTACTAACTTACATTCTTTTCAATGGCACTGGATTTATTAGCAGGGAGGATCCCACTCCCATATATCTGCTTGAATATGTTGTAAGCCGTGGGATAGCGGCAATTATTGATGAAAGGAGACCCCAGATAAGAGCAGAGATTACCATAATCGTCAGTAACCTAATATAACATAGTATAGTATGAACCCAGTCAGCCGTTTAATTACATTTACTCACTAAGTGCTAGTCAGAGATATCAAGTTACCATACCAGTTGCATGCAGTTACCACTTTACAATTACACATAAACAAACTACTCTCTCATATCTTTACTATAAAATATATACACGGACTCTTATCTCATTTAAATGTTATTCATAAAGTGACAAGGACATAATGTGAAATTCGACCTTTTATCTATGAAGACTATAGTCTGCTGTAGTTTTGGTATCAAGAACTGATGTTTGGCTTACTGATCCTTCATGAAACAATACATGCCAGTATTATTAGTTGATAATAGTAATAATATACTGTTGAGACTAGAGTCTATTATTAGTTGTATCATATTGTGCAATATACAATGTACATGTACATGTAGTATCAAGAGTGGTTGGTAGTATATACTATAATTTGTATTGTGTATGGGCTAGTGTTTGCTTTATTTTCTTACAAATGCATGCTCTGATGGTGTAGTGAACATCGTTACAATGTTATTCTTATTCAAAAGATAACCGTAAAACCTTTCCAGTGACTTCATTACAACTACAAAAGAAAGTGAGAAAGTATTATTATTATTATTATTACTAGGCATGCTAATATTATGTGATTCATGATGCATATAAATGCTATAGCCTCTACCTGGTCGAACTACAGTGTCCTTTGTACCAGAATACAAATATATCAAATCATTTGAGAGATTTGTTGGATCATCTATTTTTCCATTTTTAGCATCTTCATGGACTTTATCAACGTATTTAGCAACATCCATTAGGCTAGGCAGGAGTCTATTCATGCAAGAAGTCAATGCTGTATTAAGCTGTCCTTCGGCACAATAATACGGTCCTACAGAGACACAAAGTGGAAATCATTTAAATTCATTGCTTATAAGAATATTTTCCATGACTATTATTTATTTCGCACTACTGCTTCTTGTTTCCAAAACCACTGCCAACAAAATACTAACCATGTCCCAGAGCAAGAAGGGACACAGTATATATACACAAGGGTATTAGACTAATAGAATTGTATCTGCCATTGTTATTAGTATTTCTCTACCTCCAGCAACGACTCCAGCTCCCATAAGGGTCTTTGAATAAGCAATGTGAAACTGAACCGCAAAGTAACCGCCTGATGATATACCAGAGACGGATATTTTGCTTTTATCTACATTATAACTACCTAAAAGAGTACAGTATTAAAAACATAAATCGAGAGCAGGCCACTTACCCAGTCGAGCTGCTGCATAAGCTCCATTGAGCAGTGCAAAGACTAGAACAAGTATTATAGTATTACTGACGGCAGCCATGTTCTACAGATCTTTAAGGGGCAGCCAGACTGAGACAGTTAGTCTGGAAGTACGTGTTAAATTTCTCTAATTGTTACAAGTATTTTTTGTTCAGGAATCAGGACAGCCTTGCAACCCTGTAAATACAGCTGGCACTTCCTCCATAAGGGGCGGAGCTGACCTTGCAGGTAACCACGCCCTTTCATAATGTGGGTGGGGCTGAGATGATATTAGCAATGAGTGGTGCAACAATGTCCTCGACAATGTCCTCATAAAAGAAGCTCAAAAGCTCTTCTTTTATACAAGATATAGAATAAGAAGAGGAATGGAGCAATTAAAAGGAACAAGAAAGAGACTATCTCTCTTTTCTAAAGAAGCCAAGACTATTTTAACTGAAGCTGCAAGCAGTTACTCTCTCCTTACTAGTGACCAATCTCCTGACCAGCTGGGGGATCTGTCTGTCAAAGAAATAGAGAAAGAAGAGGTGGAAGAAGAGGCTACTAATTCAGTTCAATGTAGCTCCTGTCACGTGACTTTCTCTGACAGGGAAGAACAGGTAAATGAATGCTAATCTTTTTAAATTAAAATTACTCCTTTATTTTACTTATTAATTTAATCTATTAATTGTAGGTATTGCATTACCAGTTGGATTGGCATAGACACAATTTAAAGAGGAAATTAAAGGGGCTGGCCCCTCCACTCTCACAGGATGACTTTGAACACCTTTCCGGTAATGAACAATTATTTATTATAAATTAATTTTATGAATAATTCGATATGTGAACTGTCAATTAATATGAGCACATATCTCCTCTACCTTCAGGTGACTTGTCTAGTATATCAGGGTCTGATGACACAAGCAGCGAGTCTGAAGAACAAGAAGGAGACACTCCCATTGCTACAGTAGCAACATCGGGCTCACCTTTACTGACTTTTACTGTCACTGGAAGAGAGGATTTAAAGGAGACTTGTGCTATATACAAGACGATACTGATTAATAAAAAGGTGCCGTATGATGAAACTGAATGGAAGCTCTCTGTATGCATGTTTTGTACATGCTTGTATTCAAATTTTTAACGAGGGAAATTTAAAGTAGCTTGATGCCAGCTATCCGATACTTGGTACCAATTGTTTCGTACGTGCGTATGAGATTGGAATGTTCTACATGTACTTTAATGATTATGTTGCTGGCATATCAGATGACATACACATCACAGGCTGGTATTACCCTCTAACATTACTGCCTAGTCAATCCTGTTATTAGATTCCAGCTATAGCATACCATATCATAATTGCTTTACCTGAACGTGATCACTCCAATTAGAATAATTGGTTTTCTCATCATAAATTACATGTATTATTTATTATGTTATTAACTTGATTATTATTTTTTTGGTAGGATGAGACTGTTAGTTCTAGTGAAGTAATGGAGAATTTGGTCAGGCTGGCCACTGAGCCACAAATATGGATCGTACTAATGAAATCTGGAGGGCATTTCGCAGGTGCCATCTTTAAAAAGTACAAACAAAAAAGGGAAAACAATAAATAGCAATTTTCCTCCTTTTAAACCCTCCTCCTTGTTTCTCATTCCTCAATCTTCAATCTCTTCTTCTCTTCTTTGCAGTTCGGTGGTCTTAGAACACAAGACGTTTCATCGTTACACGGTGAGAGCAAAAAGAGGAACTGTACAATCATCAAGGGACTCTCATCAAGGAGGACACAAACCTCGCTCGGCTGGTGCTTCACTAAGGCGATACAACGAGGCCGCTCTAGAACAAGTTAGTATTACAATAATGTTTTGATCAAAACGTTTACAGTATAAGCTGATTGATGTAATAAAAGTGGCATTTTTTAGATAGCCATACTTCAAAGCATTGGAGTATTGATAGAATTAGTGCTTTGAAAATCAACTTTTGGAAAAGCATGAACCAACAAGTTGGCATGTTTTAGTATATTATTTTGTCTCCTACTTGAATAGTACATGTAATGAAAGGCTCCTGCTGTAGGTGCTAATGTTATCTTGTTACACTAGGAGATCGAGTCCCTTCTGCTTAGTTGGAAAGAGCACTTCAAGATGGCATCTGCCATATTCACAAGAGCTCCTAGACATATTAAAAATCCTTTTAGTAGCACTAGCAAGAACTCACCTATACTTCCTGGTAAGAATATACACTCCATGGTAGCATCAACTGACAATGACATGAATTAATGCTTTAGAATTTTTGTCTGGTCTGTAGATTATAGTACAGGGTATTTGTCAGAAATTGTCCATTTTCACAATATTTTCAGATTTATATGCATGTACAGATTTATATACAGTTCCTTAAAAATTTAGCTGATTCCAATCAAAATTGCTTTTTTTATAACGCTCAAAATTTGATCAAAGGCTAAATTGCTAGGAGAGAATTCTCCATTTTCTCATTTTTTCTGATGCATATACATGTACTTATGCTAAGTTTGATTTTAATTAAAATTAGATTTTTTATAAATTTTTAAAGTCGCTCTGAAATCGGTCCAAAAGTACCTGTACTATATATAGTACAGTGACTTTGGCCAAATTTCATCAAAAATAAAAGGGGAAAATTCTCCGTTTTAACGAATCTTTTATATTGCGTAAAAAGTTTGAGCTGATTTTAATTAAAATTAAATTGTGTAGAAATTTTCAAAGTTGCTTTAAATGTAATAAGTTTATCATTGTAACTATATAATATTATGCATACATTTAGGCCCCGTTTACACTAATCCATTTTAACATGTAAACAGAGACTTTTTGATTCTGATACAGCTTCTGTTTACACTAATACATGAAAATGCATCACCTATCCTAAGCAAAATGTAAACGGATACCAAAGTGGATACTTCTATAAACGAATGATAAATCTTATGAAAATGCAGCTGCTGGATTAGTGTAAACACTTGAAACGAATAATAGCAAAAACAACCCGGATTCAGTGAAGTGGTTAGTGTAAACGGGGTCTTAGCTTAATTTTTTTGTGTAGGAGATCAGCGTGTTAAGTCAATACCTTTTGCTACAAGACGTCCCACATTACATCAAGTTAAACTGGTCCACCAAACACTCTCTACACTTTATTGTGGGCTCTCACCACCTCCCATTACTACTAGTACCAAGAACACTGGTACCAAGAATACTGGTACTAAGATTACTGGTACCAAGAATGCTTGCGTCAAGGAGACTCATGTTGCACATAGTAAATGTGTTGCTGAATCATCAGGAATCACATGTACTAATGAAGTTGTGACTAATGAAGAGGTCATTGGTGATGGAGAAGATGAGGAAATAGATCAAAACGAGGACTTATTGTTAAAGACAAAGAAAAGAAGAAGAAGAAAGAAAGTGGAGAAGAAAGTTGAACTGGTAGACCCTCTAGTGGAAAGATTGCATACTCTTTGTCATGGCAATGATATGGAATCACTAGTGACAATGCTAAGAGATAACAATGTACATTCATTAACTGATGTATCATCCACCAGTGAGACTCATTCCCCTGATACTCAATCAACTAGTGATCCTCTGCTTGATATCAATGCTACCATATCAGATTCTACCTGCCTTCATGTTGCTTCATCACTTGGCCTAATTGATATACTGACAGTACTCATGGAGCATGGGGCAGACCCTACCATTAAGTATGTTAATTGCTCTCCATCTCTGGATCTTTTACATTAAGGTCCCTATACACCAGGCAATGCTATTGCAGGCAATCTGTGGTTACTTTGATCTTCAGGCAACCTTGTTGCCTAGAATAGAAACATGTTCTATTCTAGGCAACACATTGCTTACAACATCAAAGTAACCACAGATTGCCTGCAATAGAATTGCCTGGTGTATAGCGGCCTTTATGCATTACTAAAATTTATTAACTAAAACTTACTTATTTTAAATTTAGAGACGGAAATGGTAAAACCCCGTATGAGATTGCAATGGATAGACAGACTAGAGATGCTTTTAGACGTTTTATGAACCAGTGGCCTCAGGCTCATGATTACAACAGTGCTCAGGTTTGTTGTGTAGATTATTATAATTATTTTTTAAATAATAATAATTAATATTAGATTCCCTGTCCACTGACAGGAGAGATGGAAGCTGTTAGGAGAGGGAAAAAAGCAGAAAAGAGACGACAACAGAAAAAAGCTCAGAAAGATAAGAAAAAGGTAAATGATGAGATCATATTTAGCTTTGGTTTTACTTTTCTAGGCTGAGTCACTTAGTAAAGAGATGAAGGCAACAGAAGAGTCACAGGCTAATGCAGCTGTTAATCTGAGTGAGAGGGAAAAGAGAGCATTAGCAGCTGAGAAAAGGATGGCAGCACTAGCAGACATCGACCTAACAAAGTAAAATAAAAAAACATATATAATTACTATTTAACTTAACTGCTATAAAAACATAAACATAATAGCCTTTATCTATTTTTATGCTATTATATTTATTTCCATTTGTTTTGTGCACTTGTACTTTTATCATGTTAAATAATAAACAATTATTTGTATGTTACAGGTATGGGAAGTGTGATTGGTGTAGCTCTACTTTATGTGGAGTTGTTCCTTTTGAAAGGCTCCAGCACAAGTATTGCTCTATTGACTGTGTTAGGGAGCATAGGACATTTTTATCAGAGCAGAAATTGGAAAAGTGAAAAACTAATCATGTTTTTAATTTTTTTGTTTTGTGTAAATTTAAAATCATTCATTGGTTTTGTTTATAATCGTATGAATAATGAAGATGATGTAATCTGCTGATGTGCAGTGTGCGTTAATGATATTCATTGTGCTGAGTCTGGTTAAATTTCCATACCTCTGTTCCCATACTCCGGAACGGGAATAAGAAATACAAGAACGTGCCTTTAGTACACACAGTCATCAGAAGAGAGGAGACAGGGAGACACTAAAGACTGATGTCTAAAGGATAACTAGACGAGTAGCCATTACATAAGTCTTCTCCTTCTCTTCGTCTTTCTCTTGGCTTGTTCTGTGATCCTTCTCTGTCAGTCACTCTGGGAGGGAAGGAGAGCTAGGGACGCTATACATAAATGGCTGGTAGCAACATCACTCCTCCCAGCCAACCCATAGAGACGAGGGCTGGCAGTGCTAGTGGACTCAACACTCAGTCAGAGAAACCATTCCATTACACGTTAGGGAGAGACCCATAAACAGCTCTCTGTCTCTCTTCTACCTTTCCTCTCATCCTTCCCTTGTATTTCCTTTTGTCTATCTACATTCTTAAATCTTAGTACACACACACTTATAGACCTTTATCTTCCTTTTCTCTTCCCCCCTCTCTCTCTTTCTCTCTTTTAACAGTTATTTGAAGGAGTTTCGTGTCGAACAGTGCAAACTCTTCCTCCAGCACAAGTGTACGCAGCACAGACCCTATACTTGTTTTTATTGGCACTTTATGAATCAGAGGAGGCGGAGACCAGTCAGGAGGAGGGAGGGTACCTTTAATTACAGTCCGGATACATATTGTTCCACATACGATGAGAACACTGGGCTATGTCCCAATGGAGATGAGTAAGATATACAGAACATGAACATGAACATGCATCATGTGTATTATGTAAGATTACACTATGTCATATTACATGTATAATGGACTAGCATGGTGTGTATCTGTCTCTTAGTGTGTGTGTGTGTGTGTGTTGTATGACATTCCAGTATTGTATTACTACTTATTATCTTCTCTTAATCCTAATCTCCAGGTGTCCATACTTGCATCGCAATGCCGGTGACACTGAGAGGAGATACCACTTGCGTTACTACAAGACGAGTACTTGTGTGTACGAGACTGACTCAAGAGGTTTCTGTGTGAAGAATGGCCCCCACTGTGCCTTTGCTCATGGCCCACACGACCTCCGCTCCCCTATCTATGACATACGGGAGCTGACAGGAGAGGGGGAAGAGGATCGGCTAGTTTCCCCTCTGGTCGGCAGCCTAGAGAGAGAGAAAGGTGTCCTTGTTGATGATCCAAGATGGCATGGTGAGCCACGCCCGGGCCCAACCCTTGCAGCTGTATTTTTCCCACTTGAAAAGCCTGTTATGATAACATTGTTATGAGGACTGAGTGATAGATGCATGTAAATGTACTGTAGATGGACTGAAATTTGATTTGGTTTCAGTTTTGGTGTATGTATGTACATGTAACTCTATAAGTAGCACATGAAACATGTAATGTAATCAAAGAGATATGTACATGTATACCGAATCATGTTATATTTAATTTCAACATCACACACACACACACACACACACACAATGCTTTATTATAATAACAGATGCAGCCACACTGCTACTGTGTGTGAAGCACTAGCAGTCTGTATTCAATCAAGAGTAGATTCAATCTGCTGTATGTGTATAGAGCAATGGGAATATATGTACATGTACATGCATTATAATGTGTATATGTGTGTGTGTGTGTGTGTGTGTGTGTACTTGGTTTGAGGGAAATAATTACAAGACAAAAACAACATAATCTATTATTGACATATTTCAATTACGCTTGAGTGGCCCCCTCTTTTCTCTCTCTCTCTCTCTCTCTCTCTCTCTCTCTCTCTCTCTCTCTCTCTCTCTCACTCTCTCTCTCTCTCTCTCTCACTCTCTCTCTCTCTCTCTCTCTCTCTCACTCTCTCTCTCTCTCTCTCTCTCTCTCTCTCTCACTCACTCTCTCTCTCTCTTTTTTTTGTTTTCTCTTTCTTACTGTATATTCTCTCTCTATTCTATGTAGATTCTAGTTTTGTCCTAACTTATTACAAAACAGATCCCTGCAAACGCCCACCCAGACTCTGTCGCCAAGGCTACGCCTGTCCATTCTATCATAACAACAAAGATAGAAGAAGAACACCAAAAACTTTTAAATATAGGTAAGAGAGAGAGAGAGGAGAGAGAGAGAGATGTAATCATGATTGGTTTTTCCAGGTCCACCCCATGTCCTGATGTTAAGATTAACGATGAATGGGGCGATCCTGTTAACTGTGATCAGAAAGACCAATGCTGCTATTGTCACACTAGGACCGAGCAGCAATTCCATCCAGAGGTAATAAATAATAAATAAAACACTGGGGCATGCTAATTTAGTACTAGTTGTACACATTCTAATGATGAAGCAGAATTTCTCATTGCCTGGCATGCACCATGTTACTACCTACTACTGTACATGTACATGTATGCAGATTGAACTTATAATAATAATATTATTATTATTAGTACATTTTTTGCTGTGTAGTGTAGTCTTACTATGTTTTTTGTTAATTTTGAGCTCGGTGTGTATTATTACATGAGGTTTGTGTTTGTGTATTCTTGGCAGTTTGTGTACATGAGTGTATTATACATGTATACATGTGCATGTATACATGTACATGTACATGTATATGTGCATGTATGCTTCTTGTGTATGTAGCCTTTGCCAATTTCTGTTTGTCACCAAGTTATTTGATGTTGCTTTATATGCTTCCTTCCTTCTCTCACCTTCTCCCCTCCCTCTCTTTCTTTATCTCTCCAGATATACAAGTCCACTAGGTGTAATGATGTTCAGTCGACTGGTTATTGTCCCAGAGGACCTTATTGTGCCTTCGCTCATGATGACAGTAAGAGAGAGGGAGGGGGAGAGAAAGAGAGAGGGGGGAGGGGGAAGAGAAAGAGGGATGGAGAGAGAGGGGGAAGAGAAAGAGAGAGAGGGGGAGGAAACGGGATGTACATGTACATGTGTGTATACATGTACATGTACATGTACAATGTAATTGTACATACAAAAACTCAATTTTTTATATTTCCTAATCAACAGAGGAATTATCTGCTCCTCGAGAACTAACTGAAGAACCAATGACACCTGAAACTGCTGTGAGCTCTCTAGATTTATTTTCCTTCGTCCTTTTAAAAATTTTTCGTTTCTTATAGTCATCAATATCACTCGATGATAATACATCAGGTGTTACTGGTGGTGGGTCACGCCCATCTTCTGCCATCACGCCCTCTCATATTGATGCCCCCTCGTTCCAACGAGCCCCCGGGGCCGAAGTGAGGAGTAGAAGTATAGGAGAAGAGGATAGTCAGGTGGGTGTGGTTTTATGATTGATGGTAGTACATAAATAAACGTTTGATATGGTTTAGGCTTATTTGAAAAAACAGCTCCAGGCGATTGATAGCGACCAGAGCTTGGATGAATCAGAAAAGCAAAGAAGAAAACAAGTTAGCTTAATCTACTCTCGTCATTGATGTCTCCATTATGTGCACAATGTATCACTTTCTTTTAGAGCTTGTTACGTTTGTCATTCGTTGGTCCCAGTGGTGTTAGAATGAGTCCTGATACTGGGTCTGGGTTCCAGGTTGGGAGTCTTCCCAGTAGCATCAGTGAGTCTGTTGATGTCGCCATTGGACAGAGTGTGGAGGACCTTTCTCTCGATGAGACCGACCCTTTGATGGACCACCAGTCCTTATTGATGCAAGGAGAAGAGGTGAGAGGGAGGGAGGGGAGGGGGGGAGGGAGGGAAGGAGAAGGAGGGGAGGGAGGGAGAGGGAGAAGAGGGAAAAGAGGTCAGAGGGAGAAGAGGTCAGAGGGAGGGAGGAGAGGGAAAAGAGGTCAGAGGGAGGGAGAAGGAGAGGGAGGGAGAGAGAGGGAGGGACAGGGAGGGAGAGAGAGGGAGGGGGAGGGACAGGGAGAAGAGGTGAGAAGGAGGGAGGGAGAAGGTGGAAAAGATGAACGGAAGCACAATGATTTGTAGTATGTAGAGTATTTATGGTGGAAGCTTCGGAGAAGGAAAGAAAGGCAGAGAGAGATAGAGTCACTCACATGACTTGAATACAAAGCATTGCTCCACCATTACATCATACACTATACATGTACACTGTTCGGTTTACATGTACTTGTATTGATTCTCTCTTATTTACGCATTCCTTACTTATTATGAGTGCTATGATTAATGAAGTCAGCCCTGTACTGTAGAGTATGGAATGATAACAGGTTTATTATTATGACTGTCACTTGTATTTGTTCTCCCTCCTTTGTGCATCATTTTATAATAATGCATGTCTTTCTCTTTTTGTCTTCTCTCCTCCTGTTAAATAAGTTAATTATTAAACCTACATGTATTATTATTATTATTATTATTATTATTATTATTAGCATTAGTATTATAAAAGAAGGACAAAAAGTACAACACAACACACACACACACAATAAAACACAATATATTATTATTATTATTATTATTACATGTATAATTATTATCATAAAATCCTTCATTCCTATACTGTATAGATCCTGCCCCATGTGTCACATAGTTCTGGTTCTGGTCCCATTATCAGTCAGTCCCCAGTGGCACAGGGTTTCCTTCAGTCCCTCCAGTCGCCGTTCGTAGGGTTCTCCTCTCCCCTCGGCTCCTCCTTCTCTCCCTTTCCTGCCCCTCATCATATACAGCCACTTCAAACTAACCTTGGATTGGCCACGCCTACTTCTCCCCTTACGTCCGCGGCAGCCGCAATGTCTCCTAGTTCCAATCGAGGGCTCACGATGGCTCAGATCGTCCAATCAAATGCTTCGGGGAGGGCACCTGGTTCTCCATCTCGCTTATCTGCTCCAGCGGTAAGCTCATTAAATGAGTGGGCGTAAGACCAGTGTACATGTGTTAAGCATTAGTTGTCTTATTACTGGTACTGGTAATTACATGTACATCTATCATGATAGCAATTTTATCACTATATTGACCAGGCCAATTTTTATTTAAACTTATACATGTGTTTAACCTACATGTACATGTACATGTACTTGTACAATGTACATGTACTTCATATTTAATCTACATGTACATGTATCATTTGCACATTGTGCATGTACGTGTACATATGTACACATATTTTAGGGTGTTGGTGAGAATAGGCAGCAAGAAGTCACTGATGACTTGAAGCAGCAGACTAAGAGCAGTCTCTCTGGTCTCCATGAGCCGTGGAAGCAGACGAAGCAACAGACTCCATGGAAGGTTGAGGGTGAAGGTCTGGGGGGCAGTCAGACTGTTAGTTTGTTAAGAGAAGACATCAACCTACATCAACTGACACTGATTCAACTCTTCAAGGTCCAGCATCAAATTAAACATGATTTGGATTGTGTCAGCTCAGTAAGTGTTACTATTAGTATGTACATGTATGTATATGTACATGTACATACATGTACAAGTACATGTTATGTTTTGTATGATATCAATTTTTCTAAGTTAAATTTTTAAAGCACATGTAAGCAATTTCATTCAAAAACGATTCAAAAATATCATTTTTATACCTTTCACTTTCTGTTTTCTTTCCCTCCCCCCTCTCTCTCTCTCCCTCTCCCTCCCCCTCTCTCTCCCTCTTCCTCCCCCATCTCTTTCTTTCAAGGCTATCAGGTCAAGGATGTCCGTTCCCTGTACTTCGTGCCATGAGTTCTCTCGCTCTGTTTTATTCCAGCCTTGTCAGCATTTTGTCCTCTGTCAGAGGTGCAGTGACCGACTCCAGGACCCGATCCAATGCCCTCACTGTCATGGTAGAATTAGCTCAAGAACAACATTATTATTATCAGAAGAGGAGAGAGAGAAATTACATGTATCTCACCATTTGTCTTCTTCGTATCGTTAGCAATTTATTATTATTATTAATTATTATTATATTCATTTATTCTTATATCTTATGCTTAGTAATATATATATATATTATTATATTAGTTTTGTGATTTTGTGGGTGTTGGAGGCTCCGCCCACTCTATATTATTATTATTTGGTATTTTAGGTGGTTTAGTATTCTTCAAATTGTCAAATTGTATCATATTATTATTATTATCATTATTATTATTATTGCAGAGAGAGGCACAAATTATCCATCTCTCCCTTTCTCTCTATCTCTCCTAATTTCAGTTCATTTCATGTGTTTAATGCTACTACTTAAAACGTAGCTAGTTCATTTTAATTATTATTATTATTATTATTTTACTCTCACTCTACAGCATAGATGTTTATTGATAGTTATTCTCATAGCCAATTATCTCTCATTTATTATTATTATTATTATTGCTATTAATTATTCTTCTTATTATTATTATCCATTCCCCTTTCTCTCTTGTATTATTCCTATCATTGAATATAATAAATTATTATATTTATCAAGTGAAGGCATTTATTTTTTGTCGTTATTGTTATTATGGAACTCTTTTTATTTTCAATATTATTATTATTTTTAGAACATTAATTTTTCTGAATTTGAAGAAAATAATGAGACAAAAAGTTACATTACTGGTGACATCAATAAACATTAATGGGTTATTTTATTGTAAAATAACATGGCCATGCTCAGAATTCAAAGTTCCAGTCACAATCAACTTAAACTTTCTATGCCGCATAAGAAGACAGAAATACAGGTACATATACATGCATGTAGAGGGTAGTTTCGGAGCCAATTTTTAGAAAAACCCAATAGTTCTGTGACATATTTCGGATATTAAATAATTATTATTAATATTGGATTACAAAATCAGTGAAATAAACGTAACATAAAAACAATCATTTGCTATTTCTCTCGGTCTCCTTTTTCTGATAATAATTGTCCCACGAAACCATCCACCTGGCCAAGGAGTGAGAACGCATCAAGGTCACCCTCTCTCTTCTCTCTCTCTCCTCCTCCAACTTGTTTGCATTCCTCAATCTTTGATCTCAGTTCTTGTATTTGCCTGTTCAATTTTTGATTAGTTTCTTCAAGCCCGGCCTTCTCCTGCTCAGCCTTTTCCCATAGTGACCAGCCCACCGAGTCCCATTCTTCTCTAGCATTGAGACTTTCGAGCTCCTCCTCTTCTTTCCTGACTCCGTCCACTTCAGATAAAAATACAAGCAAGTTTTCGGAGTTGATTACATGATCTGATGGATACCAAATAGGCAAATGTTTCCTGTAACAACAACAACAATAATAATAATAATAATAATAATAACAATAATAATAATAATAATAATAATTGTAAAATTAATGAATACATTTTTACCTTCCTTTTTGATACAGTGCAATCGAAGGGTAGAATGATGGAGAGTGACACCTAGGTAGGTCGTTATATTGATTGTTAATCCTAAAATTAATGAAATAAATAATCTACAATGTGTGAAGCAGTGTTGTTGTACCACAAAGCAGCTAATTGAGCTAAACAGCTTCATGAGTTGACAAGCAATGGTACAGTTGTTGTACATGGCTTTTTGGGCAAATTTTAAAATTCAATATTGATTGGAATTTGCTTAAATTTTCCACACATTACAAAAGTACATGCACATGCATCGGAAAATGTAATCAAAATGCAGTATTCCCCTACTTTTAGTTTCGATAAAATTTGGCCAAAGACCATGTACATATCACATGTATATTGGGGAGGTGATGGGAACCACTTTCAGAAAAACAACTCAAACTTTGTAGATAGCATAAAGACATCAATATATATCAATAAACAATAAAATTAGGGGTGATTTCGGAGCTATTTTTTGAAAAATACCATGGGCTATAGCCTTGGGTATTTTTCAAAAATTGGCTCGTTTTTAAAAATGCTCATAACTCGAAAAATATTTGTCAGAATCAGCTCAAACTTTCTACATAGCATAAGGACATCAATATGTATCAGAAAATGTAATAAAAATTTGGGGTGATTTCAAAGCCATTTTTTGGAAAAAAACCATGGGCTATATATAGCCTTGGGTATTTTTCAGGATTTTGGCAGTTTTCTTAAAATGGCTGTAATTTGAAAAATTGAAGCCGGAATCATCTCAAACTTGCTACATAACATAAGGACATCAATATGTATCAGAAAATGTAATAAAAATTTGGGGTGATTTCAGAGCCATTTTTTGGAAAAAACCATAGGCTATAGCCTTGGGTATTTTTCAAAAATTGGCTCGTTTTTTAAAATGCTCATAACTCAAAAATATTTGTCAGAATCAGCTCAAACTTTCTACATAACACAAGGACATCAATATGTATCAGAAAATGTAATAAAAATTTGGGGTGATTTCGGAGCCATTTTTTGGAAAAGACCATGGGCTATAGCCTTGGGTATCTTTGAGGATTTTGGCGTTTTCTTAAAATGGCTGTAACTTGAAAAATTGAAGTCGGAATTAGCTCAAACTTGCTACATAACATAATGACATCAGAAAATGTGATATAAATTAGAGGCAATTTCAGAGCCAATTCTTAGCAAAATACCCTGTACTATAGTACAGGGTATTTCACTAACAAGAATGCCAAAAATCCTGTGGGAAAACCTAATTGTACGTACTACTGCAGTCATAGATATTATGGGCAACAATCGAGTACAAACACAATATGAAAAAATTAAATTTAAAAGGTGTAAAGACAAAGTGACAACAGATCATGACTAAAAGAGGATAAGTGTCAATTGTTTGATAAATGCCTGCAAGATTAACAGAAAATTATTATCACATGCGAGTGGCTATGTAATCACATTTCCTCACCAAATGCGGTACAGTATTTTACACTCAGAATCAGATTAGCTGTGAATGAGGCTAAGGCCACTATTATAGATGTACAGTACATGAATAGTTCTGCCTATGATGGTCAGGACAATGATCTCAACAAATGAACCAACCAGTTCATCACTTAGACCAACCATCCAATTAATACTAATAGCCATACATAAAGCATGATATTGTAGTCTACTAGTATGGTATACATGAATTTAAAAGGAACAATATTAGTCTTCAACCGCCTCTAATTTTTTCCCAGGCAGAACCATGCAGTATGTAGTATGCCTATAAGTTCCTTGCCTTGTTAGTTTGACTAAAGTAATGTTCCTCGTCTTCAAGTGTGTCCCTAATGATGACAATTGAGGCCAAACATAAGTACAGGCAGCACACCATCCAGTGTAATGGAACACTAATATCACCTGAATAAAAGAAATTGGAGAGGATAGACAATCCATATATACCTGTTCTTCCTCATGCAACACGTCCGAAATAAAACTATCAGAATTCAGTTCCTGGACAAACTCGTTTGACTGGTTATCCTGACCATGCCTACTCCGATATATCAGGTGCGCTTGGCCTTTGACAGTTGATTCAACGATACTTACTGGAAACAGGAACAATACAACAGAGACACACATCAACATCAATTACCATAATCATCCACTGTTGTCTCTTCGCTGATGTTAAAACTAAAAGTTAGCTGGCTCTAAACAATAATCCACATTAACCAACCCACATTAACCATATCATATAGCGCAAAATTTTCGAGGGCAGTAAATCCCACAAATTCTGTTTTACAAATTTAATTTTTGCAAATTTATGCCATCTGCCACCCTGTACTGTAATAATTCGATTTTCGTGGAAGTAATTTTCGCAAATCTTCAAAAAATAACAAAATCCGCAAAATTTACAGCCCTTTGAAATTTTTGCCCTATACGATATGTACTATATAGGTACCTTAAAATCAATAATAATTAGTGTGGGCGTGTTAGGTCCATGATCCACACCCATGCTCTCAGCAATACTCCAGTAGTAGGATGACTCAACAGTGAAGTATTGGAGACAAGGAAAGTGATAAGGAGGAGGGTGACCTCCATAAACCACACCCACTTCCTCTTCGTCCTGACAGTAAGAAGTGCTACGTGAAAAGCCTGAAATAAAATGGCGGTTGGGCAGGAAAGGGTTAAAAATAGGACAGAGCCCTCGGTCACTCTGAGAACAGAGGGGGAGCGAAACCAACTGATCAGAGAGAGATGGAGGGAGACAGTGCCAAGAAGAGAGGTGAGATAAAGTCCTTTTAGGTGAACATTGTAACGAAATAAAATGAGCAGCAAGATTATACTATACAGAGGAAAGACAAGAGGAGGGGTAGTAGGAGAGAGAGAGAGGGAGGGAGGGAGGGAGGGAGGGAGGGAGGGAGGGAGAGAGAGGGGGAGAGAGAGAGGGAGAGAGAGGGGGAGAGAGAGAGGGAGAGAGAGGGGGAGAGAGAGAGAGAGAGAGAGAGAGAGAGAGAGAGAGAGAGAGAGAGAGAGAGAGAGAGAGAGAGAGAGAGAGAGAGAGAGAGAGAGAGAGAGAGAGAGAGAGAGAGAGAGAGAGAGAGAGAGAGAGAGAGAGATAAAAAGATACATGTACATGCATTAACTTTATGCATGTACATGTATATGTATTATACTAA